CATACTATGCCATGGCACAACGTCAAGGCAAAGGGTGGATATGGCGAGTGCATTTTGGATGTCAGTGCCGAGATCACGTCAAAGCAGGAGATTGATGTTCATATGCCACCAAAGATCGAGAACCCGATACTAATGGTCGACGAAGGAAATGGGTGATTCCATTGTTATTCGTGAGTCTAAGGTGCTACTGAATGAGGTGATATGCCGACGAGTCGGATGGCCAAGAGAATGCCATGTTTGCCAGGTCGTGCAACCATATTACGAAGAGTGGGAGCCATGGACCATGAACTTGGGCATGATCATAGCGGAGATCTTGCCAAGGATGCGTGCGACGCATCATATTGAGTGTCTTTCCTTCGGGAGAAGACTTTGGGTTGCCTGAGGGCATTGCCAAGGTGAGGAATCAGATTCGAGGGTATAGCGAAGCTTCGAAATGGGGCGAGTTTCCAAGTTAGAAGGTGTCATCATTCTGGAAAGGGGTATGTCGAATGATCGGGGACCGAGAGTGTCCAGGTGCGAGGCACACCGAACCGGGAAGTCGTGCTAGCAAGACCAAGAGAGTACCTGTCTATAGGGCGAGTATTGAAGTACTACCGGGAGCATTGGCTACTTGCTGAGGAAGTGACAACTGGAAAACAAAGAACTTTGTTCGGAAAGGCGGCGATGCTACGACTTTAGGAATGTAGTACTCACCAAAGGTCGTCTCAAGAGCTGGCCGAATGCCAAGTGAGATGACGAGCTAAGATGTATCCTCCACATTTAGTGTGGGAGGATCCCGCCTATGCGAGAGGCATAAGGACAAAGTCGTGGGTCTGGAAGCGAACACATCTTCAAGGTAGTGAAGGCAAAGAGAGCTACGGGAACGGAATGCTACGTGAGCTATGCCAGAGGCGTTTGAAGGCCATGTGAGCGAGTGAGCTACTAGAGCCGCGCCAAAGAGGGCGTCTTAATGCTACGGGAGCGAAAGGCTACGGGAGCCATGCCAAAGGCATCTTAGGGCTACGTGAGCGAAAGGCTGCGGGAGCTATGCCAAAGAGGGCATCTTAGGGCTACGTGAGCGAAAGGCTACGGGAGCGACGTCAAAAGAGCACATGNTTTGAAGGCCAAGTGAGCGAATGAGCTACTAGGGCCGCGCCAAAGAGGGCGTCTTAATGCTACGGGAGCGAAAGGCTACGGGAGCCATGCCAAAGGCATCTTAGGGCTACGTGAGCGAAAGGCTGCGGGAGCTATGCCAAAGAGGGCATCTTAGGGCTACGTGAGCGAAAGGCTACGGGAGCGACGTCAAAAGAGCACATGATGTGCTTACCTGTGAAGGAAAGCTTCAGACGGACATGAAGACCGTGAGGGTCATGGTGTGATTTGACTAGTGTGGGTCAATCACAAAGTTAGACACTAGAGGGTGCAAGTGCGGAGGCACTTTCCAAGTGAACACCGAATGGAGGTGAAGTGCAGAGGCACGCTTGGAAGATACTTGGGGGAGAAGTGCATGGGGCACGACTCCTTTTGAGAAAGGACTTCGAGGAAGTCCAACCCACA